AAGAGTATGGCTGGTCAAATGGTGGGGAAAGTACTCTTGAATGACCAAGTATGGTGGAAGGACAACAGCTGGTCATGGAGTGGGCATGGGAGTGGTTGCTTGTGTTACACACTAAGGTAAAGTCAACACTCCACCTCAAATATTCACCCACTAGATTTTATTCTTAAATAAATATTTCTATAAAAATATGTTTAAATTATGAATATTTAGGGTCTTATATGTTAAAATATGATTTTTGGAGAAAATCCCGCGTTAAAATAATTAAAAACGGGCTTAAAACGGAGTCATGGTCGAAAACCGGGTGGAAAGTGGCAAATCCGAAGTCAGGAGGGTGACTCCGGCCTTAACAGCATTAGATCCGAAGTGAAGGCTTGGACGCGGATGTGGATTCGAAGAGAAAAGGCGTTGCGGTCCGAGCAGGTAGGCCCGGAGGCGACTTCGGATGCAGTGCTCCAGGTGGCTGCGGCTCGCTGGTTGCGGCTCGCTGGCTGCGGCTACTTAAGGAGACTCCGGTCCAAGGAGGGTTTGGTCCCTATAGGGGGACTTCGGCCCTAAAAGCCTATTTTCCAAGGCATCGTCCCGTTTCGAAGGGTTTTTCACCAAGTCAAGTGTCGGGATGCCCCAAATGATTACAAAAAGATCAAAAGAGGTTTTGAGAGAGATTTGGGAGAGATTTGACATACTTGGAGAGATTTCACATACTGGGAGAGATTTGGGAGAGATTTCACATTCTTGGAGAGATTTCTCATACAGAGAGAGATTTGGGAGAGATTTCACATTCTTGGAGAGATTTCTCATACAGAGAGATTTGGGAGAGATTTCACATTCTTGGAGAGATTTCTCATACAGAGAGAGATTTGGGAGAGATTTCTCATACAGAGAGAGATTTGGGAGAGATTTCGCATTCTTGGAGAGATTTCTCATACAGAGAGAGATTTGGGAGAGATTTCACATTCTTGGAGAGATTTCTCATTCTTGGAGAGATTTGGGAGAGATTTCACATTCTTGGAGAGATTTCTCATACAGAGAGAGATTGGGAGAGATTTCACATTCTTGGAGAGATTTCTCATACAGAGAGAGATTTGGGAGAGATTTCACATTCTTGGAGAGATTTCTCATACAGAGAGAGATTTGGGAGAGATTTCACATTCTTGGAGAGATCTGGGAGAGATTTCACATACTTGGAGAGATTCCTCCTACTTAGAGAGTTTTGGGAGAGTTAGAGTGAAAGAGATTGGGAGAGACTTCTTTTGTGACCTTTTTGAGTGTTTGGCTCTGTAATTCAAGGTTTGTAAACCTCGTTAAGTCTTGTTATGATTGTTATATGCATCCCGAGGGTTAAGGATTAATGTTTTATCGAGTAGTTTCATCACTTGCCCTTATTAGGGTTTAGAGTTTCCGAACACGTGAAAACTCAAAGTGATACTTTGTATTAAGATTGCGAGTTGTTCGATAAGAAACATAATGGAAACCCTAATATACAAGGGTCAGATGAGTTGACCGGTTTGACTTGTTGACTTTGACTTGGCCAAAATTGACGGTTGTCACATAAGGCCACACAAACGTACATGAAATATACTTAGGAAATATCATTATATTCACAAGGTTGTCGAAAACATATGCACTATGGTAAGTAGAGTTGAAACGAATAAGATCTTTGTTGATACGTTAACTAAACCATTATTATAGTCTAATCATGATTCTCACACTAGGTCTCTAGGCATTAGATTTGAAAACGAATTGGCTTGATTGTATCTTAGTTAATTTGATGACTAAGGAACTTATAAAGTATGCACCTTATTTGATGTAATGATTAATTGAGATCGTAATATATGCTAGGAGCAATTACTTTCATTAGTTCATTAAGGTGTTCCATTTATATGTTTGTTTAACTTCCATGAATACTAGATTATTCAAAATCTCCACATTTAGTCATTCCTCATTGAGAGAATTATATGAGGTGTTGGTTGATTATACATAGAGATAGATATAGCTTTAATATGCAACTACACTCACATGTACTTGATAGAGATCAAGTATTGGAATAATTCATACTTAGAAATTACTTCATGGATCATACCACAAGTCTATTATGCTTTGAGATTCTCTATTTTTTGTAACTGGCATCCACACAAGAAATGTCCATGTGTGGCATGATGAGTGGGTGAGGTCGATGTAATCATATTTATTTGTTCCTTTTGGCCTATAGTACAAGTGATATCATTAGGGCCCTCGATGAACACTTCAAATTGTTGATTAATTATGCACTATGTTTTGTTGGTCAACACAAATCTCTATAAAAAAACAAAATATTGAACGTCTTGAGATTAACGTTATTTCATATCTTACGTTCATACGAATGTCAAGAACAAATGGATGTTTGATTACTTACTTGTAGGACTGATTCATACCTTCCCATTTTGATATTAGTATTTGTGTTGGATGGCATACCTTATGTTGACTTTGTGGCATTGGTGTAAACCATTATTAATGTTACCTTACAATTTTTGTGTCATGTGCAAGAAGGAGTCTCTTGGAGATATGTCAACCGACACAACATGTTGTAGACATTACATTAGCCTATTGGGTTGCACACAAAGTACAATTTAATAGCGAGAAATATAAATAAAGGAGCTAGTTTGTTATTCATGATTAATAAGGTGATTTAACCAAAAACTATAAAAGAGGGGGGTTTTACTTCAAATTAAGCATATTTTAATTATGATTAAAGAATTATATATTTGTTTATATATAATTAACTAATTAATTCAAATTGTTGCTTGATGGGCAAGTTAAGCGTTAGGGTTTGCCTATAAAAAACAACCCCTGATTCACCTCTCTCCCATTCCCTTTCACTTAGGTGTTGTTTGTTTTTTTTTGAAGCAAAAATTCATGAAGTCTGTGGACCACCTCTACAACCCTCTGCAGTAGAACAGGTGGACCAAACGGCTGCAGACTGTAATAAGAAATGTGTTTGTTTTTTTAACATCTGCATGCTGCTACAGATATTAAAAAATTAAAATAAATTGATTTTATAAACCGAAAATAGTTTTTTAATACCGAAAATTTAATAATCTATGACATTTCAGCAAAAATTTATGATATTTCAGCAAAAAATAATGATATTTCAACAAAAAATAAAGATATTTTAGCAAAAAAAAAATAATGATATTTCATCTAGAAATTATCATTATTCAACATAAAAAAACGAAAAAATAAATAAATTCAACAAGAATAAACAAAAAAAAACGAAAAAAATGTGAAATAAGATTTCAGCAACATATAATCAAGATTCAGCAAGAAAAAAAAAAGAGGTTGGAAGAGGCAATACAAGGTTGCGCCAGAACACGCGCATAGGTTTTTTACTCCGAAGACTTCTAAAAAACAAACAACTGCGAGATGAAAAGTGTTGTGCGTGTGCTGTGTCGCGCAACAATAAGAGGTCTGAAGATGTTTTTTACAAAAGACAAACAGCACCTTAATATCTATCATGTATCCCCTTGCTTTCGACGGGAGAGACACACACACATTCGGGGTGTTTTCTTGGTCTTCAAGCGATCGAGTTCAACCATTGGAGAAGGGTTCCAAGTTATTTTCGTTGAATGTTTCTTTAGGATGTGAACTAATAGAGAAACTCCAGTTTGGGTTTTCAATTTCATCCAAAAACATCATAAGATAATTGATTCAATGTACACAATTTGCAAACCTTCTTGTAAATTATTTTTGTTGCAAGTATCCATTGAACGTAGATCATTGGTTGCATATGATGGTCGACTTTTATAATGCCTCTATTGCTTTTTTATTGTTTTGAAAGTCATCATGATCCAACAGGAATTAACATAGTACATGAGATATGTAGACAAAGAGGGTCATCAGCATTATCAAGAAGTTGTCGGTAATACTTTTTGATGTCTAAGTTATGACAAATGAGATAATATATTCTGAGAATAACAATAAGAGAGTATAAGCAATACGTAAATATAGTGTTAGTTGCTCTTGGTTTATATACGAGATGAACATAAGGAGTGGTGATGGTGGACGTATCTTACATAATATTGTTTACATCAAGCTACTAAGTACAAAATGAGTTTAGTGTTTAACATAGATGATCTTTGAGGGATCGTTTGGTACTTTATTTATATAGGGTATTGTTCTAGTAAATCGGCAAATTTGAATCAGTATGATCGCACTCGGCGATCCAGATCCGGAAGGTGGGGTACCTACATACATACATAGTACATACATATATCAAGCACATAATATATTTTTTTATCGTTTCCAATTCTCTAAAATAAATCCAATTAACAAGTTCAAAAAATGATATGAAGCAAGTGCTACATCGCCTCACAATGTGTAGGATATTGTAATTGTTTTGTCGGCACCTCCTAAAAGATTACAAGGCACCACAAAGGCCCAAACACCACCATGTCGAAAAAGTGAAACTCAACACACTTTGGAGGAAAAGAAAAAAAAGAGACTACAGGAAGCTCGTGTGTGCAACGTGGTCCATATGGTCGCACATCCACACCGCATGTGTTTTGGCATCCCGACATTGTTTTATGATATCGCCTATCACTTGCTTCTTTGCACAAAAAGAGATTCCTTATCCTTTCCAAATCCCATTTGTTTTACAACACAGCACATAATAACCCATATTTGTCCTAACACTACGAAATCTACAGGTTAATATCTACCTGATTTATTGATTTTATATGTCACATGATATCTATCAAAAGTCATATCATTAAAAAAAAAAACGAAAGTAAAAAAGAAGCAAATATCAAAACGAAGTGTTCTAAATTTTAATTTCACACCACCTAGGCTCATAAGTTTTACAAGAAAATCCTCAATCACTATTTCTTTTCCCTTCATAGCAACTAGAATTTACAAAAAAATTAAACAATCTCTACAGATAAAAGAATACATAAACAACATATCCTTAAAGCTTCTAGAAGATGAAAAAAAAAAGTTCACAAAATTGATATAATGATACACTCACATTTTGTTTTATGTTGACCAAACCACCCAAAGTCTACGTGTACATTTCTAAAACCAAAATAAAAGATCAAAGTTTTGAAATATATGAAACTAAATCCCATCTCTATGATACAAACAAGTTTTTTTTTTTTCTGTTTTTTTTTCCATTAATTTTGTACCTCCAATTAAATCTAGTTCAAAGGTGAATTCACCTTCTTCATAATCATCTCTTTAGTTAGTCCCCCAACTCCTCTGCAAAAAATACAAAATTAATTTAGTTCAAAGGTGATTATAGCATTGTATTTGTAGGTTGATTATAGATATTGATAAAAGCAAAAATGAAAGATGAAAAAAGGACCTGAATTAATTTTGACTTGCAGTAAGTAAAGGACCTCTGTGAATATTCCATTTGCAACATCATTTGTGGACAAATAATAATGCCACATTCAACCTGCTACCTTTATTGCACCCATTTCATCCATCTTTGAGCTGCTCTTATGCTGCAAAATTAAATATATAAAACACTATTCTATATCTATATTTGATATTATGATCTAATAATCTACTCAAAGCATTTTAAGTACATCCAATCCAAGTTACCTTACTTTTCTTGTGTCTATGAATGTCATTGATATCTTCATCTCCATCATGCTTCCTTTTCTGAAACCATTTCACAACACCACCATTACTAAACCCTAAACCCTAAATCAAAAAGCTATACAAGATTAGTACTTAGTAGCATTAGCTAACCTTTTCATGATGACTACTTTTATCCTTCTTTTTTTCCTTATCTTTACTTCGATCTTTATGGCGATGTTTATGTTTCTTATGTTCTTTATCTTTATCCTTGTGTTTCTTATGCTTCTTTTCCTTCTCCTTCGATTCACTTCTAGATTTTCCTGCTACAGTAGGAGTCCCTTTCTCTGACTACAATGCAGATTAGTAAACAAGGGCAGTTTCGGTATTTTTGTTTTGAAATTTTGGAAAATGCTTACAGATGGAAGGTCAACAGGAGAAGAAGTCTCGCGCAACTGAAAGGCTTCTCTTAAGGTGTCAAGGTCAAAGGGCTGTATGCGTGTATTTGTCTCTCTTGATGTATTATTATTATTGTTCTGAATGAGTTGATCTAATTGCATCCCTTCACCTTTCCTAATTTCTGAGTCTCCAACAACATTATGAAGGTAATGTGTGTCTGAAATTGATAAAGGAAGTGGCTTTTTGCAGAAGAACTCATGGTGAGGTAACAATTTATAGTAGCTTATAAGATCAACAGCACCCGTAAGTTCCCTTGGCCCTAATATAAAGCAGACAGTTAGTTTCTTGATATATCATAATGAGATAAAATAAAAAACAGAAAATCTAGGAAAAAAAACTCACCTTTCCCAAACTTCTTGCTTTCAGGATCCATTTATACCATCATCACCTAAGAAGGATGATTAATTTTCTTCAATCAGAAATACCATCATAACATAATCTGAAACCTAATGGTGACTGTATATATTATTAAGAAGGATGATTAATTTCCTATCTCTTCTCAAGAAAGAAGTGGGCTATTTATTTGCAAAAATGGGCTTAATTTCTTTCACATGTGGCAATTTTGCAAGGATCATGTACAGAGAGAGATATACTGTTTTGAAAAGCAAAAAGGTTTCAAGAAAAAAACTGAAAGACTCCTAAATACATGTTATTGTACACCAAAAGACTCGAGGAGTGGAATAGGCATCAGATGTGCATGAAGAAAAGATCAACAATCTTGAAATCAGAAAAAGGATGCAATCAATACATGTAAGTGTGATCATAGAGAATGAAGATTGTAACCTAGACCACACTGTAAGTTAACGGGACTGTTTCATCGAGGCACAAGATTGAATCTAGAAGCAAAAGTCAATCTAATCATGTCAAGAACCAAAATTTACAGAAAAAATCATTTTTCAAGTCTGGTAAAACCCTAAGTCTCCTTTGTATGTAGAAATAGTATACATAAACACTATATATGTAACAAAATTAGTACTCTTTATGGATTTAGATCTTCAAGTAGAGGGGCAACATATCAGAAAATAGAAACCTAATAAGTCAAATGTTTATTCTTACTCTAGGTATAGGTATAGTATATGTAAATAACTAAATATGTACTTCTTGAATGCATTCAACCCAAATAGAAGCGATTCCGTAAAAAGTCTTACTCCAATCAACTTAACCCTAATTACACACTAAATTACCTTATTTTGCGAATTACATCCAGCGTCAAGAAACCACACCGCCTAATTTCAACCCTAAATTCCGCACTTGGCTGCACTGAATTGCTAATATCCAACTGTTTTTCCTTAGTTTAGCGCAAGACTGAAATCGATCTTTTCTATAAGCATATTAATGTTTAACAAATAAAACTAAAAAGTAAATAGCAATGGTTTCTCTTCAAAGTGTTGGAAAATCTCGTAAGGCGAAGAACTTACCTTGCTTAATACAGAAGAGATCCGTAGAGCTCAAATTGGACCAATTCGCATCCAATTCCTCCCACAATTAGGCAAAATCGAGTGAATAACTACCGAAATAGTTAAGCAAATAGGTAATTTTTAGTCTTTGTCTTCGTCGTCGTTTTCCCCTTTAACTGAAATAAACCCTAATACCTGTAAAAGAGACTCTCAAGTGTTGAAAATTATTGCCTTCGCTTCGCGCATCTACTAACGAGAATGGACCTGTGTGTGTTATTACAGCAACTAAGTATATATATAAAATGTTATGGACATTATTGCCCTTGATCCATTTCCATTTTCTACTCTCTCTTTTCCATCAATCGAATTTGGAAGGGGTTTTTAGGTAATTTAGAAGTTACAACAAAAATGGAGTTCAATTAAATAAATAATTAAAAGATCGGGTCTAATTTTATCGAATTATCTATAGTTTTATTGTTCGGTGTTTAATATGACAAACAAATATAATCATAAATCATAGTTACGACTTATGACACATTCTTGGTTTTGATTTTAATCTAATCAATAACCATAATCATAATAGCTAATAAATGGTTATGTACCATATATTATGTCGTTATCAAATGAAACTTTAATATATGTAGAGCTAACCAATCACATACAATTTTAAAATTATATGATATATGTAAAGTATGACAAATGGTGTTATACTAATAGTGATAATATGCGATAAAAGTTGGTCTTGTGTTACAAATTCTTTATGGGATCAACATTTTATACCGATTAGTAGTGATAAATGTTTTTTGTATGTCTCTATCTATAAAGTTATATTTATTTTTTTATAGTTGGATGATATTTGTGTGGTATGTTGCTTTTTGCTACCTAATGTAATTTTTTAGAAATTTAAGGGTATAAATATAAAGTATTAAACATCATAGAAAATATCGAGTATACTTATGGTGATTATCATGTGGTGTTTGTGAGAAGTTTTTTTGGATGGTCGTAATTTGACTACTAGTGACATTTTAACTAGATGTGACAATTATGTTCCTATCAAGTTGAATATTCTGCTTTTGAATATTCTGTTTTAGAGAGTTGTTGATTGGATTCTGACTCATGTTCCTATCAAGTTGAATATTCTGCTTTTGAATATTCTGTTTTAGAGAGTTGTTGATTGGATTCTGACTCATGTCAATCTTCTGGATAAAAATATTTGTTTTGATTTATTGTTTTATCCTTGTTGTGAGCATGATAAGAAAAACAAGAATCATTTGCTCATTACTAGTTCCTCGATCACAGGCATTTGGAAGCTTATCGGGAGGTGGTGGGACATTTGGTTCATGCTTTGATCAAGTTGGTGGATAATGCGCCCCTTGATGTGGATCAAATGAAATATTTCGATGCGGTGATTATTATTATCTTTTTGGTTGCTTAAGAGTTTCGGAATAATTTTATTTTGGAGTTGTAAAGTCTAAAAAATCTTTGGTTTTTGACAATATTGTTTTGTACTATTTCTGTTGGATTAGCAATAGACATAAAAGTGTAATCCTAATTGGGTTGGGTGGTTTCACAATCTTTCTTTTGCTACTTTGAGCCACTTTTTTTTAGCTCCTTGCTAACAGTTTTAATATAATCATTTCGTTCTAAAAAAAACTAGCATAAGGTTAATGGGTTAGGGTAGGCCATTGCCCCAACCAACTTTTAACATACTTAATGTGACCCTTTCTTTACCAGGGTAATGCTGAATGTCCCTTTTGCATTTTATTTGAATACAGTTAATATTGAATAATTAATGGATTATATTTGCTTATCAAACTTATAAGACTCTAATATGTAGAGATTATACATACCGGAAAATATGATGATATAATCGAAAATATGTTGTTATAATTGAAGGTATGATACATAATAAAAAGCTATCAAGTGATGAAGCTAACCGACTATCGTCTTGAACTTGAGTGTGATGTCCCGATTAACATTACAATACCTAAAAGGTAAAATGTGAAATTTGTTATTTGGAAGCAAAAAGTTTCTAACACAAGTAATTTAGGAAAAGAACTCTAAGACTTTCGAGGATTCAACACTAGTCTACTTTGGTTTTTACCAAAGCAAGTTCACGACTATTCGCCAAAAGTATATGCATATCAACTTAAGTCTACATGCTTGGTTGTGAATTCCATGATATCGTGTGAGCATTTGATATGTAAATCCAAGTTATCTTTATGATTATGAGTTGTAAATTGTCAAAATACCATAATATGCATGTGTGTCATGGAGACGAAATCTTTTGGGTGTCATAACGACTATTGGTATGCAAGCATCACATGTTGGCTCTTTAGGTAAGGTTTGGTGGGCACCTCTCCATAGGTGACTCAAGTTCAAGTCATAGGGGTTTCAAATATGGATAACCAGAAGTTTGTGTTGTGACACAGGTTCTAAAAATGGTTGCTTAACACATCGTCTATAGCAAGCCTCCTCCCCATATTCTCATAAATCAGAGAAGTTGTAGTGGATGATAACAACCCATTTTTAGCGACTATCATTAGGCCCAACACCAAAATAATTGATTCGAATAAAAAGTTGTTTAGAATTAGGAGTTGCTAGCACGTATTTGTGTGGCATGTTCATTTTGATGGTCTTTCTACATTGGACAATCGTGATGGGAAAGGAATGGAACAAAACGTCAGTCACACTATTTTGGCTTTTGTTTTTAACGTTATATTTACCTATAAATAATAACAACTTATATACCCATTTTACCCATTCTATTTATCACATATATTGATTTTCAAACGACACTATTAACACTTCATATTATGAAATTGATCAAAATAAAATCTCCATTTGAAGATCACAATATTATTTTGTAAGACCAATTGAAATTGAGGATATGTGATCTCAACCACGATATTTAAGATCACAGTTTTTTTCAAAAACATCAATAATACACTATAGTTTGAAAAGTAATTTTTTTATAAGAAAAACAATTAAAACATGAACAAAAATAACCTGAACATAATTTTATCCAAAATTATCCACCCTTACTAAATATTAGGGGTAGACCACAGTGGACTTTTGTCTTGGGTCTGCCACTGCTAAATAAGTAAATATACTGATATTCTCATTTTACATGATGAATGGTTATTTATTTTCATTAGTTAGTTTCTCAAGGGACTAAACGTGTATATTGTAACAGTTCAGGGACTAAACGCGTATATGTAAAAGTTTAGAGACTTACTTGTCATTAAGTATCTTTGATCAGTTGACAACCAGAAAGATACATTTCACATTTCACGGGGAAGAGACTTCCGAAAGGTGAGTAGCCTGGCCCTTGGACAACGTTAACACCACAGGGGAATCTCTTTTCCCTTAATCAGACGAAATCTCCATTGCAATCAAAAACAATAAAACCCCTATTCTCTGATCCCATTTTTCGTCTTCAATCGTCACGTTATCATAGGGTGAGCCTTTCTTTCTCTCTCTGACTGGTTTTGAGTATATTGTAGGTCTGTATACTTGTATTTTAATCTTGTTTTGATATTTTATGATAAGGGTTTTTGGGGGTTTTGATGATATTGCGTTGGGTATTTTGAATATTGGAGATTACACGTTTCTTGCACTTGAATATGATCGGTTTAAGCTTCATAAGAAACGATCGCGAGACATTACGCTAATGCGATTGAAACTGTTTTTGATAATATCAAAGGAGTTATAGATTGAAAGTGGGTGCTCTCTGGGAATCGAAGTAATTACTTTGTACAAAAATTAGGTGGTGTTTGGACTTTGGATGTGCATTTTCAAAATTGGTTATTCAATGAATCATGTTTAAATAATTAGTCAATCAGAATCTGAGTCGATTAACATGTTAAACACTCCAAACTGAAGTTTCTTTAATCAAATCCAAACACCCCGTTAAATCAACTAATTTTTTGTTATACTTTGATAAGTGTTTGATTAGGTTTTTTTATGTGACTGCAATTGGGTATTTTTCAGAATGAGAAGTTTCTTGAATAAAACTTTACTTTAAATGAAGTTTTTTGAGGGATCAAAGTTTCTTTTCCTTCAAGAAATCCGTATAAAAGAGTGTTGAGTGATGTTTAATCTTCTTTATGATCAATGAATCTTGTAGCATTCTTGTCATCTTTTTTTTTTCTTTTGTGCTAAATGCAAGATATAGCAATGTACCTTCCAAATTCTTATATCATAGCAATGTACATTACTATTTCTTGTATTTAGCCATTTTCTTTTCAAATTTTATCAAATAAATCTTAGAAAAGTGTTTATTATTGATTTAGGTTTGGTGTTATGCTTTAACCTCTTTATATGGCCTACCCTGGTGTCCTAAAATCAATTTATGCGGTTGTTGTTTGGATTGCTTCATATGCTCTTGTTGCAATTATTGGATTATTTCAAGTCTCGACTTTTATTGGTTCATCTATTTTCAATCGATAAAGTACTTTGAAGGGGGTAAAAGGGGCAAAATGGCAATAAAAAGATCAAGGAATAATGAAAAAGGTGATCTTTTATCTTTATGAAACATTTTCCTTGTGATCTTTTTGTGATTTTGAGTGAATTTGATTGTGTATCAGGTGGATCTATATGTCATGATTTTGCACAAATGGACATTGAAGAGCAAAGATTTAGACCAAAAGGATTTGTTGAGAGAGTTTTTTGTTCTTTTGGTATGAGTTTTGGTGTGTGAGAGATGTGTCGTATGTGGGATTCACTTTCTTTCAAGGATCTTTTGAGGGATTTATTCATTGAGTTTTGATTTGGTTCAAGTGGTTTTAAAAACCTAGTCGTTGTTGGCTTGAACAAAGTGTTTTGTCGAGACATAATATATATAATAAAAGATGATGTTCTTGACAGTTTCTATTTGTGCGTTGTAGTTTTTAGAAGGCATTGACTATGATTTGAAAACCTAGGGTCTGTAAGATTTCATGATTGGATGGAATTGACCAAGTAATGTAATAGATTTCATGATCCTATTGTCATGTTTGGTTCCATTGATGATGCAATTGATTAAGATGGTTACGTTGACTTTACATTTAGTAGTTTTTTTTGTTCATAAAAAGGTCAAACATGTATCAGTTCTTATATGTCATCGACTACTTCTCACATTTTTGTAAACTTGTGGCATAAAAGATTTGATCATTTACCATTGAATAAACTTAAAACTCTTCCGTTGGTTCCTTAAACCGATAAACTTATGGTGTAAGAGGTAGCTACTCATGTTGCAATCATGTTTTCCATGAAAGAACTAAAACACAATGGAATAGATTGCCATTTCACTCGTGAAAATCTTGAAGATGGAACAATCTCAACTCCTCATATTAGAACCAGAAGTCCACTAGTTGATGTTTTTTACCAAAGTGTTACCTAGTTCTCGGATTTTTAATATATGTACAAGTTGGGCACTATTAACATTTTTAGTGTTAAAATGTATATATTATATTTAGGTTAATGACTTATAAGAGTCATAAACTTTTACTCGTGTATACATTTAGTTACTTATGGTTTTTTTATACATATGAGCATGAAACTTATTTATCATGTTCACAAATATCATTATCACCGGCTAGTGTAAGTTTAATCGGTTTCCAATTCCCTGCAGCTTCGGCGAGACTACTCTAATCATCTTCTCCCACCAAACATGATTTTTCTGACGATTTGAGTTCTAACACACATTTTCCAAATTTCTTTTTTCTCTCTCCTATGAAACAAACCCAGAAATTGGGGGTTAGATTCAAAGATGAAACACACATGAACACAAAAGTTTTTGTTTTAAAGAATCCATAAATTTGGGTTTCTTATTCTTGTTTCTAGAACTCATAACACACATACACATACACACGAGTTTAAGTTCATTGCAAACACATCTCTTTGTGTCTTGTTCTCATTTCTATGAGCACACACATATGAATACACAAACAGGTTTTTTGTTCTTGTTCATCGAGTTTGTTTTGTGTTTGTGTGTGCGCTCTAATTTCTATTTAGGGTTTTTCGGTGTGTGTGAATTTCGATTTTGGTGGGTTTGTGTTCGTTAAATCTGGATTCCATCATAAATTTGTGTGCTGGAAACAATTTAGGGTTTTTCAAACGTTCATTAGAGTTGGAATTCATATATGAAAGTCGTGTTGTGTTCTTGAAGCTTGATGAATCGAAAACCACACAAATGAAGATCTTGAGTTATTGAAGGTCGATGAAGGTATAGGGTTTGTTCATCAGAATTGAAAACAATGTTTTTGAGTGTTTTGACCGGAGAACATGATCCGAAAATTCTATGTTTGGCCAAATATCTACACTAACCGGTCATATGGGTGTTTTTGAACATGGTAAACAAGATTAATGGTCATTCGCATACTAAATATGTAGAGTTGGAGTAAAGTTTAAATTGTTAACCCTTATTTATTTAGCTAGGTGTAACACTTGAATCCTAGTAACTTTCTTCTTTTCCCTTAGTGTTGCTTATATTGCATTATTGGTCCTTGAGTTGTACGCGGGGCATACCACATGGTACACTTAGCGTACAAGCTGTAAAGCGAGTACGTGGGGCATACCACATGGTACGCTTAGCATACTCATGCAAGACGGGATCGGGACTCCAGGCACGTACGCTGGGCGTACAGCCTTATACGTCGGGCGTACGTGCGAGATGTTGAAACCCTGATTTAGGGTGTTGTACCCTATATAAAAGCCTTAAGTCCTCATGGTTGGCCTCCTTACCAGCCTTCATTGCCACTCAAACCTAAAATCGACCATTAAGTCTCTTGGTGGTGTTCTTGAGCTAGTAAGAAGTTCTTGGTGCTCATTTTTGGTCTTTGTGAAGGAAGTGGAGAATCTTGAAGTTGTTTGCTTGGTGGAAAGGCCTTGGATCCATAATCATCTTCTTTTGTGCAAGCCTTCTAAGGTATCAAGTTTGAACCTTGACTTGTAGATGTTTAGATCTCTTCATTTTGTGCTTTGTTATGCTTTTGGTCCCTTTTTGGGTTGATAAGAGAGTGAAATCGTTTTAAGGGCTTATTATTTCGGATCTGAGTTTGTATGGGACTCTTTGAGCATAAAGGTGCAATCTTTATGAGTATGTGATCACATGCATGCATTAAGTCACTTATTAAGTCCGTTTTAAGCTTAAGAGCTTCATTTAGACATGCATGAACGTAAAGTTGCCAACTTTACGTGGTTTTCCAGCTCAAGGAAGTCAGATCTATGTTTTGGGGCTATGTCTTAAATGATTAAGGACTGAAATGAAGTTTTTGGCTGAATGGGTGAGTACGTTGGGCGTACAAGCAGGTACGCTTAACGTAGAAGCCCTCAAGCGAGTACGTTGCGCGTACGTGTTGAGTACGCCCCGCGTACGTGTCAGGTGGGCTTTGTATATTTGGGCTTCGGATTTGGACTTGTCTTTGGGCTCTGTGGCTTGTGGCCTTGTTGGACCACCTGAAAATAAGAGTTTGGAGTGGGGAAAAATTAGTGGGCCTTAGGGTAAGGCCCATGTAAGGATTTGGCCCCAATTTGGAAAATTGGGCCATAATTGGGCCTTGGTTGATTATTGGGCTTTTGGGCCTTTTAGGTTGTGAGTTTGGCCCTTAGTCTTGGACCAAACTAGGTTAGGGATAAATATGTCTTTTTACCCCAAGTATGGATTTATGGTTATGGTTTGGAACCTAAATGCTAATTGGGTGTGTCTTGGCATTGTTTAGCTCGGAGATTCACTAGAGCAGCAGCCATGGATTTTGCAATGAGATTCAACAGTCGATGTGAGTTTCCTCACCATGTTTAACGGGTCGAAGGCACCAATGCCGACCCATGATCTGTTCTGTTAGATTACTCGTTGTCTTTGTGACACTATTATGTATATGTGCTTGTGTGTTACTGGGCGGGGCCCGCTGATTATCCTGCATGCTATTATCTGTTATTAGATAAGAACTGTATGTGGGTGGGGCCCGTTATGCGAGTTAGGGCGGGCCCCATTATACTCATTGGGCGGGGCCAGTTGCGAGTTAGGGCGGGGCCCGTTATACTCTTTGGGCGGGGTCCGTTATGTGTTTATGTTTGGTATGTGGTATCTTGGGGAACTCACTAAGCTTTGTGCTTATGGTTTTCAGTTGATGTTTCAGGTACTTCCGGTTCCAAGGAGAAGAGCTCGGGATGATTGCATCGCACACACCACATGGTTTCCGCTTTAGAGATATTACTCTGATTGATGTGATGTTTAATACACTTATTTTCTTTTGAGTTGTATGAATAATGTTTTGACATACTGTTTTATTAAATAAAAATGGAATTTTTTTATCATATTTTTGAGACGTTACACTAGGGCTCTATTTGTTCATGGGCTTTATTACATTTAGTGTTTTAGTCCATAAATACTTGTATTCATACTAAATATGTAGAGATGAAGTAAAGTTTAAATTATTAACCCTTATTTATTTAGCTAAGGCTTTGTTTGTTCATGGGCTTTATTACATTTAGTGTATTAGTCCATAAATACTTGTATTCATACTAAATAAATATGTACAGATGGAGTAAAGTTTAAATTGTTAACCCTTATTTATTTAGCTAAGGCCCTGTTTGTTCATGGGCTTTATTACATTTAGTGTATTAGTTCATAAATACTTGTATTCATACTAAATAAATATGTACAGATGGAGTAAAGTTTAAATTGTTAACCCTTGTTTATTTAGCGAAGACCCTTTTTGTTCACGGGCTTTATTACATTTAGTGTTTTAGTCCTTATTTATTTAGCTAAGGCCCTGTTTGTTCATGGGCTTTATTACATTTAGTGTTTTAGTCCATAAATCATAAAATAGTTGGTAGCGGGTAGCTTCAAGCTGGTAGCGTTTTGTTTAAAGTGAACGCTAGAAGCTCGTTGTGCCAAACGAGACTTTCTGTTTGAAACGTAGCGTTGCTACAAGCTAAAAGCTCTTAAATGCTCCCAAACACAGAACACGCTCTTAGTGTTTTAGTTCATAACAACATATGTATTACATTCAGTTCAAAAAGGACAAGTCTTTTTTTTCCAATCTATCCATTTGCACCTATAAGTAATAGACATCTCAACACACTTAGGTGTTGTTTGTTTTTTATAAAAAAAAACTCTTCAAAACTCTTATTGCTGCGCGGCGCAGCACACGCGCAGCACTTTTTGTCCCGCAGCAGTTTGTTTTTCGGAAGTCTTCGGGGCTTAAAACCTCTGCCTGTGTGCTTCTTGGGGAAGCACTTGTTGTACCTCTTCCCACTCCTTCAAACCTAAACCTAAAAAGAATTCAACCCAAAAAAAACACGCCGCATCGTTCGTAAACATCTTCTGCCCAACGAAGCTCCATCGACGTCCCTCCAAGATCGCAGCCCCACCACCTCTTGTCGCCACACCTCGTCGTCACCCCACCTGATCGCCGACGACTTCCACTGCAGAATATCTTCCTTCTTCGTCGGCCTCGTCCTATCACAGGTATGTTTTTTTTTTTATTGATTTTGGAAATTGGCAATTGATTTCGTGTGTAATCAAAAATTGATTTCGTTTGTATCTCTTTTAGTCCATAAAAGATCAGATTAGGTGAATTGCATGTGAATTCAGTTGAATTCGTTTTTTTTTTTTTCATTATGGAAATTGGCAATAGAAATCGTTTGTAATCATAATTGGTGCTGATTTTCTTTTTTGTTGCATATATGTTGTTGAATTGTTGATGTTGTTATATGTTTTTTCTTGTTTTTTTTCTTTGTTGAAGATGATGTTGTTGATGCATTCATGTTGCTGAATTGTTATTGTTGTATGTTGTTTGTTTTTCTGAATTGTTATTGTTGTTGTATGTTGTTTGTTTTTCAAGTATAATAGTGATAGTTTATTGCTTAAAAGTCACAAATATATGATGAAATATCATAAATTTTGCTTAAATATTTGTTGAATATGCTAAAATCTTTGCTGA